AGACATGAGGTTTGTGCACTAGTTCGACAATACCACTGCTCACACGTGTTTGCATTTCTTTTTCGCTCCACGCAAAGCAAGTCTAAGTCAGCAACGCACATTGCAGTTGGAACCAACTTGAAGCAATAACATTTGTTATAGACTTGGTTCTTGACTGCATAGCTTCCTTATTTATTGTATTTAATTTCAGACATGAGGTTTGTGCACTAGTTCGACAATACCACTGCTCACACGTGTTTGCATTTCTTTTTCGTTCCACGCAAAGCATGTCTAAGTCAGCAATGCACGCACTGCAGTTGGAACCAACTTGAAGCAATAACATGTGTTATAGACTTGGTTCTTGACTGCATAGCTTGCTTTATCATATAAACATTAAACTACATTAGTTTGCAAGTGTGTGATCAAACGCTGTCAGGAGTGCCGGGTGCAGGACCCAACAATTCTGGCGGCGTCATTGGCATCATCAGACCAGTCTCACCAGGTGGGGTTGGGGGAGGCGGCCCCGGTGGTGTTCTTGCTTGGTGCGGGGCGCGGAGGGGGAGAGCGACTTCTTTCAGGACGCCGTTCCCACCACACTGGATGATCAGGAGGAGGATCCAATCCAACCTGCACATGAAGAGACTGCGTTCAAGTTGTTGAGACATGCAACAGACAGACAAGAGTCAAGCCAAAGCAATGAGGGTGAAAGGTGAACATGTGATTAAGTTTTCCAAGCCACTCCCAAAAGTCATCCTCAAAAACAAAATCCTCGCAGCTTGACTCATCGTCACATTCCACGACCTTTTTCGGCTTGGCCGCCGCCATTGGTCGCGCGAGCTTCCGCGCCATGGCTGCAGGCGTGGGGGATAAGTACCGGGAGTATATGGGCGCCTGAAACGGCTCTTCTAATACCATGTCACCACCGCACGGCAGACCTGACAGTAAGCAGAAGCATGCAGACTACAGACTGTGTGACCAAAGAACCTAAAAGATTTTGCATGAAGGACAAGTGTGTAATTCTTAAATTTTATCAATGTTTGAAGCTGTTTGAAGGGTGACATGTGATGACATGCATTAATGCATTTGTGTCAGTCGAAGCAGCAGTGTGTTTTTTTCACAAGTGATCGGCGGGTCGCGATGTGATCAAAATTTAGTGAAGCTTTCATCACATTCTTAGTTGGGAACATCACTTCATGGCTTTCATGGACTTCATCACCTTTCTTGCCTTCGAGTTCCTTCTTCTTGTTGCACGAATACGGTTTGCTATTGAGCTTCCGTTTCATCCAAAACTATACACCTCATGTCTGGACTCTTGTGACATGGTGTCCCATGGGGTCTATAGTTTTGGATTTTTTGGATTTTTTGGATTTTTTGGATTTTTTGGATTTTTTGGATTGTTTTGTTTTTTTTTGTTTTCTCATGTTTTTTATTTTCTCTATGGAGCCCTCTCCAAAGAGTCGCAAAATATTGTTTTTTTTGGGCTGTGTTTTTTGTATTTTCCATGTGTTTTTTTTGGATTTCTCTAAATTTACTGACTTGCATATTGAAAAAACGTGCGTTTTACCTAGATTTTGAAGCTATGTGGTGCAAAACATACTGTAAATTACAGTGTTTTCTATACTTTATACTTGGAAAACAGCATCCCTGTGAGCACCCGATCTGGATATGTATATATATATATATAATGTATGCGTATATATATATATACAGATCAATGATGGGCCTTTACCAGCTCGATCGGGGTAATAGGTTCCTCCCGTTTGACTGTCAAACAACCCTAGTGAAGGGCACTGATATCTCTACGTAAGGTTTGAATAGTTTGAAGGTGAAACGAGCCAGTTTGCACCGTCTTTCTGTTGATTTACTCTTGCTGTTTGCCAGATCTGTTGTCTCGCAAGACCTGTGGACAGCGACGCATCCAACCCTTCATGGGTACAAAAATGGAAATGTGAGAACTCAAATGCACAGGTGGAGAAAGGCGGAGACAGCGGGAAAGATCCCTTGCCATCCTTTTCCAATTTTGTATCCTTGCAGTCCCAGCAGTCCTTGGCCTTCTCAAAGTCGTTATTCTTCGACGAGTGCACCTCCATCGCATCTTCTAGAGCTGCAAAGGCTTCCCTGTGGGTGCCATGCGCGCATGCCGCGGTGGCCGTCCGCAGCTATCACAGGAAATTGCACTTGAGGGACACACAGACAGACAGACAGACAGACAGACAGCCAGACAGCCAGACAGACCGACCGACCGACCGGCAGACCGGCCGACCGGCCGACCGGCGGACAGGCGGACGGGCAGACGGACCGACAGACAAACAGACAAACAGACAAACAGACAAACAGACAAACAGAGAGAGGGAGAGAGAACAAGAAGAGCGAGAGCGAGCGAGAGAGACACAGAGAGAGAGAGAGAAACAGAGAGAGAAACAGAGAGAGAAACAGAGAGAGAAACAGAGAGAGAAACAGAGAGAAACAGAGAGAGGGAGAGAGGGAGCGAGACAAAGAAAGAGAGAGTGAGAGAGAGCATAAAGAAAGAGATAGAGCGCGAGAGAGAGACCCAAAGCGAGAGGGAGAGAGAGGAAGAGGAAGAGCAAGAGCGAGCGGCGTCTAGCAGGAGAATTGACTCGTGGCCATCCATGGCACAAATCGGGACACGCAATCACAAATCGACACTCAAGACACCAATGCGTGCTCAGCAGAAAAGATCGCACCTGCGCACGTTACCTCCCCCTTTGTATTGGATCCCTGCACCCTCGATTCTAGAATTGCACTTCATGGGGCCTCCCATGCCCCCACCAAGCTGCTGCTCTCGAACCTGGTTTTCTTGGCATGAGCAGTATACTCCGCGTTGTGGCTTTCGATCGCCTTGTGCTGAAGCAAAATGGGATCAAGTTGCTCAGAACCCATGGCAATCAATCAAAGATGAGCTTAACTCCCCGGTAATTTCGAGAACCCCCCTATCCAACGTCAACAATGGGAGATTTCAACCATCGTTGGTTTTAAATGTTTTAAGGGCTCCAAAGCTCCAAAATCAATAGGGCAGAAAAAGGAAGACCCGCCTTCAGGGTTGCGTTCTTCTTCTGCATTGCAGACTCTGCAGCTGTCTGCTTTACTTTCACCGCATCCATCTGTGCCTGGACAGCCTTCCTCACGCGTCAAATGGAGGCAAAAAAAAATCAACCGGAATATGAGGTACCCAACTGGAGTGAGCAGTTTGGTGGTTTTCAGGGCTCACATTGACTCCCATCAACTCCCAACGGTTCACAAGCATACCAAACTGAGGCCGGTCATCCGTGATACCCACCAGTGAAAACGATGTAACGATATGCAACGGACGTCCAGACATTGAAGGCTTCACCCGAGGTTCGTTTGATATCACTTGCCCCCTATGAAGCTACTCAAAAAACACCAAGCCATTGCCAGTTCCATGCCCATTTGTCTGCCCAGGATTGCTGTTTCTCTCCCCATGTTCTGATCCAAATCATCCAACTCCTAAGCTGAGCATCATCTTCCTGGACACTCGGCCATTCACCTTCCGGATGGCCGAATTCACCGCAAGGGGCACAGCGCCGGCCATGCTGTCGGTGATGATAGCGGCTCCCGTATTCAGGCCGTAACGCAGAGCAGCATCATCGCGGATGGCCGTCAAACACGAAAAGAGCGACACGTGCACCACAATGCGGGCAAGCATGGCGCACGAGAAAGGCCTAAACACTAGCAAGCTGTGAGCCTGATAGCCGCAAAATGAAGATGCGACCTTCTGGCAGGATATCATTGGTCGATATGGCCGATCGGCCAAACCGAATCTAAAGCGGGGCAATCAATCAGCCGGATTGGCAGCCGCATCACTTAGGGCAACACCAAACGCATCACTTCAGGCAACATCCACAAATCACACACTCCTCACACGTTCACTTGGGGCAACACGGAAAACATCATTCTTCTTATCTATTTAATTACTTGACTCAGACATTTAGGGTTTGGTTGGGGGGGTGGGGAGGGATCAGTCTACTTACATCATTACTTGACTCAGCCATTTAGGGTTTGGTTGGGGGGTTGGGGAGGCATCATTCTACTTACATCATTACTTGGCTCAGCCATTTGGGGGTTGGTTGGGGGGGTGGGGAGGGATCATTCTTCTTATAGAATTACTTGACTCAGCCATTTAGGGTTTGGTTAGGGGCGTGGGGAGGGATCATTCTTCTTATAGAATTACTTGACTCAGCCATTTAGAGTTTGGTTGGGGGGGTGGGGAGGCATCATTCTACTTACATCATTACTTGGCTCAGCCATCTAGGGTTTGGCTGGGGGGGTGGGGAGGGATCATTCTACTTACATCATTACTTGACTCAGCCATTTAGGGTCTCGTTTGGGGGATAATGATGATGATGATGATGATGACGATGATGATGATGATGATGATGATAAGGTAACCCGAAGCGATGCATGAAGCGTAGCCCGAAGCAATGCACTCGACGTATCCCTAAGCGAGAGCCTTACTCCCCCTTCTTTTACCGTAGCGCAAAAAAAAATATTATTATTTTTCTTCCACGTTAACTAAAGTGAGAATTCGGAGGTTTACTTCCATGTTAGTTGCAATGGGGGGGGTAAACTGCAAATTTGTGTTCTTTGGATCTGAGCCCTTTTTTTTTGGCTAGTTCTTTTTGCCACGAGTTCCCCGGGAATCCTGGGCATTTGCTGATTAACGTAGAAATTTTGATTTTTTCAAGATAAAGCTGGGAATGCCTCCATTTTTTAACAACCAACGATTGGAACGGATAACTTACATAGAAATTTGCTACTTGAAGTAGGATGTGGGCAGTGCCATGTTAGCGAGCGCTCGGTCCTCCTTTTACCGTAGTGCAAAAAAAAATCCTTCCACGTTAACTAAAGTGACAGTTCGGAGGTTTACTTCCATGTTAGTTGCAATGGGGGGGGTAAACTGCAAATTTGTGTTCTTTGGATCTGAGCCCTTTTTTTTTGCTAGTTCTTTTTGCCACGAGTTCCCCGGGAATCCTGGGCATTTGTTGATTAACGTAAAAATTTTGATTTTTTCAAGATAAAGCTGGGAATGCCTCCATTTTTTAACAACCAACGATTGGAACGGATAACTTGCATAGAAATTTGCTACTTGAAGTAGGATGTGGGCAGTGCCATGTTAGCGAGCGCTCGGTCCTCCTTTTATCGTAGTGCAAAAAAAAAACCTTCCACGTTAACTAAAGTGACAATTCGGAGGTTTACTTCCATGTTAGTTGCAATTGGGGGGGGTAAACTGCAAATTTGTGTTCTTTGGATCTGAGCCCTTTTTTTTTTGCGAGTTCTTTTTGCCACGAGTTCCCCGGGAATCCTGGCATTTGTTGATTAACGTAGACATTTTGATTTTTTCAAGATCAAGCTGGGAATGCCTCCATTTCTAAAGTGACAATTCGGAGGTTTACTTCCATGTTAGTTGCAATGGTGGGGGTAAACTGCAAATTTGTGTTCTTTGGATCTGAGCCCTTTTTTTTTTGCGAGTTCTTTTTGCCACGAGTTCCCCGGGAATCCTGGGCATTTGTTGATTAACGTAGAAATTTTGATTTTTTCAAGATAAAGCTGGGAATGCCTCTATTTTTTAACAACCAACGATTGGAACGGATAACTTACATAGAAATTTGCTACTTGAAGTAGGATGTGGGCAGTGCCATGTTAGCGAGCGCTCGGTCCTCCTTTTATCGTAGTGCAAAAAAAAAAAACCTTCCACGTTAACTAAAGTGACAATTCGGAGGTTTACTTCCATGTTAGTTGCAATTGGGGGGGTAAACTGCAAATTTGTGTTCTTTGGATCTGAGCCCTTTTTTTTTTGGCTAGTTCTTTTTGCCACGAGTTCCCCGGGAATCCTGGGCATTTGTTGATTAACGTAGAAATTTTGAATTTTTCAAGATAAAGCTGGGAATGCCTCCATTTTTTAACAACCAACGATTGGAACGGATAACTTACATAGAAAATTTGCTACTTGAAGTAGGATGTGGGCAGTGCCATGTTAGCGAGCGCTCGGTCCTCCTTTTACCGTAGTGCAAAAAAAAATCTTCCACGTTAACTAAAGTGACAATTCGGAGGTTTACTTCCATGTTAGTTGCAATGGGGGGGGTAAACTGCAAATTTGTGTTCTTTGGATCTGAGCCCTTTTTTTGCTAGTTCTTTTTGCCACGAGTTCCCCGGGAATCCTGGGCATTTGTTGATTAACGTAGAAATTTTGAATTTTTCAAGATAAAGCTGGGGATGCCTCCATTTTTTAACAACCAACGATTGGAACGGATAACTTGCATAGAAATTTGCTACTTGAAGTAGGATGTGGATAGTGCCATGTTAGTGAGCACCAATTTGGCACCATTGATTTCGAAAGGTTGCATCCTCAATCGCTCGGACATGACAGGGGTGAGAAGATAGATGCAAAGAAAAAAAATGTTGTGGCGGCCAGTCTGGGGGTTTTAGGGATCGCCCTAGAAGGATGTATTCAACATGAGGGGAGAACATGTTAACATAGAAGTTGCCAACCTGATGTCTGGACCCTCAAGTTACTTCCACGTAAGGGTTTTTAGTCTCAGTTTTCACACTTCCATGATGAATATGTTACTGACATATCTGATGAGCTACTTCCATGTAAGAGATTCACGGTCAGTTTTTCTGCATTTGCTGGCCCGGTAGCCCAGTTTCATTTTTTCCCCAGGAATTGGACGTAAACGACTTCCATGTAAACCGACAGGTTTTTCCATCCTGACTTCCACGGTAAAAGGACCCGGTGTACCGATTGGGTCTGGCATCAGAAGGAAAGGCTCCACAACACCAAATCAAAAACGAATAAACCCAATGTTTCAGCAGGCGCCCACTGGGCATGGCAGCATCAAATCTGTCATGCAGTCACGGACTATATGATTGAGAAACGTAAGTTGGTGAGTAAACTGTTCCAGGTCACGGTGGAAAGGTGAAAGAGGGTGGAAAAATGTTGAGGGTTGAGACACCTAAATGTTTTACCTGGGCTGCCTGGGCTGGGTCTGAATCTGACGCCTTGCAGTGGCAGAATGGCTCTTTTGCAGCCTCACAACATCTCACAACGCAATGGGCCTCACAAAGGCCATCTGACTTTGAAACCCGGCGCTCAATTCTGAAACCCTTCGGATTCTGGAGATCTGTTCGCTCTGCCAAAGCGATAAGCATGCACCCACATTGAGTTTTGGGTGTCATTTTTCAAACTCCTCTTTCTAGGGGTTCCGTGGGTGGAATGGTTTCCGTGGCTTCCTCATCCTTCGAGCCTTCCTCAGGCGGCACAGCCGTATCCACGGCTTCCACGTCTGGACCTTCCTCTCGCGGCACACTTTCCGGTTCTGAGGTGGTTTCCATGGCTTCCTCATCCTTCGAGCCTTCCTCAGGCGGCACAGCCGTATCCACGGCTTCCACGTCTGGACCTTCCTCTCGCGGCACACTTTCCGGTTCTGAGGTGATTTCCATGGCTTCCTCATCCTTCGAGCCTTCCTCAGGCGGCACAGCCGTATCCATGGCTTCCACGTCTGGACCTTCCTCTCGCGGCACACTTTCCGGTTCTGAGGTGATTTCCATGGCTTCAACCGTCTTGGGCAAGTCCTGGGAGTCCTGGATGGCACCATCCACCGTGTTGTCACTGGGTTCAGATTCAGAGTTGGTCTCCGTCTCTGGGTCTTCGAGGCTCGCATCCCACCAAGCGTCAGTGATACCTTAGGTTCACACATGTTCGCACAACATCCGGGAAAATCATGGGCATGTCCTGGTATAGGATGATTTGGCATCTTTAAAAATTCTGGGCCTCATGTTATTCTTAGATATTCTTGATCTATCTTGATCTATCTTGATCTAGTATTACGCACTTCCAGCCCAAGAATTTTGGGGCAAGAATTCTACTCAAAGCAATTTCCGCAGTTTTGCGGGGTAAGCTTGACCCATGCCCCATTACCCACGCAAAACTGATTAACACTGGCTGGTCAATGCTAAAAATGATCAGTTGCTCTGGTTCTCATGAAGCTTTAACTCTTTGACACTCCCCAGCTTGTCACAATCAATGATCCCCCTTCCCACTGCCAAATTCAACGGCTCACAACCTGGACTTGTGCCACTGGAGGGCGCGCTGACTGACCCTTGAAGGTTGGGAACTTCTTGCGCTTTAGGCCTGCAGCTTTCCACAAGCCTGTGCCGCACTTCTCCTGAAGGAAAGTGCAGCAGAATCCCCCGCACGATTCTCCAAGCGTGATGTTGAAAATGATCATGCGCGCTGGCGGGCATGCCGCCTATCCCAAAAACATCAAAAAAAATGTGATCGTTCACTGCGGTACCTTGGAAATCACCAACTAGCTGAAACCTTCACTAGGTGCACTCGCGCCCCTTCAGTAAATGGCCCTGCACGTTAGTTTGGAATGGACACACCGGTCGGTATTTGGCGGTGCCTTACGATCTACTCCTGGGGCATTCCTTGTTTAAGCTCACGCCGCCGTTAGCGGCGCTGACGAATTTACTACTTTTTAGCATATCAGAGGAGTTTACTACTTTTCAGCATATACGGCCAGGGGTGGGATGGGGGGTGGGGTGGGATGTTAACGTTCATTTGCACTTGCACACCACGTGGATGCTACGTTGCTGCTACGTGTGGCATGGGTTGGGGTGGGGTGGGATGTTAACGTTCATTTGCACTTGCACACCACGTGGATGCTACGTTGCTGCTACGTGGGGCATGGGTTGTGGTGGGGTGGGATGTTAACGTTCATTTGCGCTTGCACACCACGTGGATGCTACGCTACGTTGCTGCTACGTGGGGCATGGGTTGGGGTGGGGTGGGATGTTAACGTTCATTTGCACTTGCACACCACGTGGATGCTACGTTGCTGCTACCTGGGGCATGGGTTGGGGTGGGGTGGGATGTTAACGTTCATTTGCACTTGCACACCACGTGGATGCTACGTTGCTGCTACGTGGGGCATGGGTTGGGGTGGGGTGGGATGTTAACGTTCATTTGCACACCACGTGGATGCTACGTTGCTGCTACGAGGAGCATGGGTTGGGGTGGAGTGGGATGTTAACGTTCATTTGCACTTGCACACGTGGATGCTACGTTGCTGCTACGTGGGGCATGGGTTGGGGTGGGGTGGGATGTTAACGTTCATTTGCACTTGCACACCACGGGGATGCTACGTTGCTGCTACGTGGGGCATGGGTTGGGGTGGGGTGGGATGTTAACGTTCATTTGCACTTGCACACCACGTGGATGCTGCGTTGCTGCTACGTGGGGCATGGGTTGGGGTGGGGTGGGATGTTAACGTTCATTTGCACTTGCACACCACGTGGATGCTACGTTGCTGCTACGTGGGCATGGGTTGGGGTGGGGTGGGGGTTTCATTCGCACGTGGCAACACCAGTGGTGCACTTTGCTCTTGTGCTGTTGGGGCTGGTGGGGGTGGGGTGGGATGTTAACGTTCATTACACTTGCACACCACGTGGATGCTACGTTGCTGCTACGTGGGGCTGGGATGGGGGGTGGGGTGGGATGTTAACGTTCATTTGCACTTGCACACCACGTGGATGCTACGTTGCTGCTACGTGGGGCATGGGTGGGGGGTGGGGTGGGATGTTAACGTTCATTTGCACTTGCACACCACGTGGATGCTACGTTGCTGCTACGTGGGGCATGGGTTGGGGTGGGGTGGGATGTTAACGTTCATTTGCACTTGCACACCACGTGGATGCTACGTTGCTGCTACGTGGGGCATGGGTTGGGGTGGGGTGGGATGTTAACGTTCATTTGCACTTGCACACCACGTGGATGCTACGTTGCTGCTACGTGGGGCATGGGTTGGGGTGGGGTGGGATGTTAACGTTCATTTGCACTTGCACACCACGTGGATGCTACGTTGCTCCTACGTGGGGCATGGGTTGGGGTGGGGTGGGATGTTAACGTTCATTTGCACTTGCACACCACGTGGATGCTACGTTGCTGCTACGTGGGGCATGGGTTGGGGTGGGGTGGGATGTTAACGTTCATTTGCACTTGCACACCACGTGGATGCTACGATTGCTGCTACGTGGGGCATGGGTTGGGGTGGGGTGGGATGTTAACGTTCATTTGCACTTGCACACCACGTGGATGCTACGTTGCTGCTACGTGGGGCATGGGTTGGGGTGGGGTGTACTTACCAGGTGTCATGATTGTCTAAACCTTGGACAGAGCATGGCAGGATTTGAAAAAGTATGTTCCATCCGAGATCACAGCAAAGGATGCAACCAGCAAAAAGGTGAATCCTGCGTTGTGGGATTGGATTTACAGCTGGATGTGGCGCCGCAACTGTAAAGGAGATGTGTGGGCAGCCATGCCAGCTCTGTTTCACTGAGACAGAGGTTGCTGCAAGCCAGCTGCCAAAACGTCCAGCGCCGCTAATGGCGGCGTGACCTTGTTTAGTCACCATGAGCCATCAGCAAGACAAGAGCCCCATCGACCTCACCAACAGCTAGTTCCCGCCAAAAAAGGAGCACAAACGCTCTTTGCCATCTATATCCACCGATTGCCCTGCCTGGAGATCTTTGAAGTCGTTCTTTTCTTCTGCCTGCATCTCCAAAGTCTCCCCAGGGTCGCACTGCAGTAGGATGGCCGCGAAGGTGTTGCGCTTGATCTGCGCCACGGCATCCTGGATGCTGCCTCAGCAGAAGACAGGTAGGTGCTGGAAATCCAGCCTTTGCGGGCTCAACGGATAAATAGAACTCCAAGCACCTGCACTTGTGATACGATAGGGACTAAGAAGAACAGGCCCATCTCCGCAAAGGAATTTGCACATTTGCAAAGCTTGGGCAGGTTGACACCATGCTCTACCTCTACCTGAAGGAATCGCCCATGTTCTGTGGTGCGCGACCGCACCCCTACCTATCTTTTCCGCATCCAAGACTTCAGCTCAGTAACCATAGAGTTCAGCGTCCAAGCCGTGGAGCGCATAGAAGGTCCCCACCATCTCGTTGTATCCTTGGAGTTCCGCAGCCCCAAGGGCATCTCAAAGAAAATTAATTTCTTCGAGCGATCCCCACCGTGGCATACCTTCTGACATGTATTCTGGCTTTCTATCTAACATATCTTGCGGCATTCTATCCGACATATATTCTGAGAAATATTCTGGCGTCCCATTTGAATCATTTGACAATATTGACATTCTACCTCTGGCATTCTCTGTGATATGATGTAAATGGTGGTCGGGTTGGCCAGAAAGCCTGGGAGCTCGCCATTCTGTTCGGGTCCAGCCAGAGAGCCACACTGGCGATGGAGTGGCATAGATGAGGCTGGCAGGCTGGCGATGATGTGCCGAGGAAGATGGCGCGCAGGGGCGGAGAAGTAGAACGAGACGGGACAGTTGACATAAACATACAAATCATACAATCTAGAGACCCTCACCTGGCAGATTGGGAAAAGGCTTTTTTTTACCTTCTTCATGTTTCATTGTCTTATTTATCTTTATCTTATTTTATCTTGTGATATTTTAGGTGGATTCGCTTCAAGGTTCGCTTCAAGGGAGAAATCCAAAACTCACCAACTCAGCAGATCCAAGCATCCTTCAAAGGTGGGTTTCAGATGTGGATCCGCCTTCATGATTTCTGAAGCCACTGCATCCGGGTTCTCGGCAATTTGGTTTTCCATGCTGACAGTCAGCTCGTCCAGCTTTCCTGAATGGCTGGCAATGATGCCAAACGAAGTGACACACCCAAAAATATTGCAGCAAATGGCCCGTTGCGGATGCGGGAAAATCATTCCAAAAAAGTGAGTCGGTGAGAAACTCCCACGCCGCGGCCCGTCGCCTGTGGGCAACTTCCGGCCAACTCAACCAAGCAGCAAATCATGAGCCAGAGTTGCTCTTTGACCACAGTGAAACCACTGTTTAAGAACCTACTGTAATAAGAACTTCAGGGGCTGGATTGATGGATTCAACCCTTTCTGTCACCTAATTGAAATAAGAACCCTAGGGTGCCCTGGAATTCTAGCCACTGGTTCTTATTCCCCTTCAACAGGGACCAACATACCAAGCAATGATTATTAGCAGCTATTTCCCAAAAGAAAGAGTATGCACCGCGAAACTTCCACACCGATGACAAATATATATGATTCAGCCCCACGAAGATTTGAAGCCTTACATGGTCCCCAAGGCTGACGTCGACAGCTTCAGCCAGACACCGGCCAGACTCACTGAAGGTCATCTGACCTTGGAGGCTGCCCTTGGCTTGTGTTGGCGTGTCTTGGCTTGTCTTGGCTTGTCTTGCCTGTGCTGCCTTGTTTCGGGCACCCAAATCAAAAACAAACTTTCGGGACCTGAAAGTTGATTCCTTCCCCCCGCCTCCCGTGCAACCCACGCCAAAATGAACTTTCAAGCCTTGCCATGGTAGAATATCTGGCCCTTTGCTCTGTTTGGAAAGCCTGCACCTGAAAAAAATATTCGGGGCCTGAAAAAGTTTTTGTCCAACCCACTCTTTTCTAAACCTAATACCATGCCAAAATGAATTTTCAAGCCCTGGCATGGTGGAGTATCTGGCCCTTAGCTCTGTTTTGGATGGCTGCACCTCAAAAAAACTTTCGGGACCTAAAAAGTTTTTTCTTACTCCTTTGCAACCTAATACCATGCCACAATAAACTCTCAATCCCTGGCATGCTGGAATTTCTGGCCTATATGTTTATATATATATAGCTCTGTTTGGAATGCCTGCGCCTGAAAAAACTTTTCGGGACCTAAACAGTTTTTTCTTCCCCTCGCCTCCTTTACAATCTAATACTACGCCAAAATGAATTGGCAAAACTCTCACCATATGAACCCCTTAAGAACTAACCCATTGAGAACTAAACGGTACCCTTGTTCATAATTCCCATATTTTCCACCTATAGCACTTAAGAATTCCAGGGTAGGCTGGAAAATTCTTAATCGGTTCTTATCTAACGGTTCCTCTCTAGTCAATTCGTTCAACAGAAAGCGGATCAAGGGGGACAGCCAGCAAGTGTCTGACAGATTCAGAATGGATTTAATGTGCGATTTTTCCGTGCGCAGTGGCAGAGTGAAACGAAGGAGGTGCGCGAAAAAAGGTGTTAAAGCAGGTTTTGTTGTTCTTGTGGTTGCCAAGTGAAGGTGTGTGTTTCCACATGTCCGGGCCTCGGTCCCGGAAGGGCGTGAGAAGAATGCGCAGACTCTCGGAAAAGCTTGCCACACTGCAAATTCGGAGCACTTTGTCGGGGAAAAGGGTGCAAGACAGTAGCAAGAGCTAGGCCGTGCAAAGAGAACGCAGCACTGCATTCAATCAGAGACCGCCTTTGTGAAAAACCTGGTCCGGAAAAAGCACCAAAGACTATGAACTTCACAAGAGCACGCGACAAAAGTGATGAGAAGATATGAGAAGCGGAACATGTGCCCAGCACAGCTGGATTGTTCCCGCAAAAGCAACACATTCCACAAATGCACCACTAACTCTCCCCTAAGGTTGGCAACATGTCAGGAGGCCGCAGATCCCCCCGCTTGGGCCTTACTAATCTTACTAGAGGCACTTCATTTCCTGTAGCCACTGAATGCCTCTGAATATGACTGAAACTTCCTGTCCGGCACAGCAGGGGACTAGCTTAATCCTTAATTTAAAAAGTTATAGGTAATGCAAATAGGTGGGGCCACCAAGCTTCCGTAGAAGCTTAAAATGGCGCTTCGCACTTTCATCAGCATCTCCAAACCCTTCTTTTCGTCACCTCAGTGCGCCAAATTGGGGACCGCCTCCCATCCTCCATATCATAATACAGTTTAGCGTTTAGCGGTGAAAGCTTTTGAATCATCAATTCTTGGAAATACATGGACACATGGTTGGAATCCAGTGTGTTGCCACAATTTGTTGATATTTGTTGCACAGACTGGCCGAAGCATGTTTGAAAACACATGAAAAACCAAACTCCGCACCAGGTGGCCATGTTCTTCTTCCAGGATTTTCGCGTGATGTGTGGCTGCTTTCGCTTCAGCTGTGGCCATCTTCAAGGCATCGATGGCCGTGACCAGCAATAGCTGGTTCTTATCCAAGGCCTTTCGAGCCTCATGCATGGCTGCTTCCGCTTTGTCGTGCTCATCAGCCTCGGAGCAGGGGCGGTGGCGGGCTCCATGGTAAGGATACAAAATTGGTTGCTTTCCGTACTCATGAAGGCCAGCCAAAGCTAAACTTGCAGATCAATTAGCAATGAAATGATTCTCCGATATTCGGATTCCCTGCTCATTTTGAGCCATACCCGTCTGGATGTGTGGGAGTAGTGGCGGCTGCATCAAATAAATGGATATAAATGGATTAGTTGAAGATGGTTGAGGAGGACTTTTGCAAGAAACCTATATACATTGTTCTTAAATAGTTGTTACATGTACGTACGATTCGTACCACTTATCTTGCTTTCGCTTCTGATAAATCAATTCAACGCACTGTGCGCTTAGGTTTGCCAATCCCAATGCTGAGTTTGCCATCCTGCTCTCGGCGGGCGTGCATTTTGAAGGGAAAAGTCGGAGAAAACATTTTGGTGTACGCAAGGCCGCTGCCAAGTCTGACTTGAGGTGATTTTAAAAAAAAAAACGTATAAATTTGCTTATGCCGCTTTCACCTTATCGTTTTTTCTTCCTTATCGTTTTGCAGGCTATCTGCACTTATCACAATCAAAGAGGTTTATGCACATGCGGCCGCCATCCAAGAAATCATTCGTTCAGCTTCCATTGACCTCGGGCATTCATACCTTTGCTGCAAAAACGCTTCTTGGAGCAAACTCACCGTAGCCACATGTAGCCACAACGTGTTTAGAAGAGGACCTTTTTTTAATGTCTTTAGGTTGGCTGGTTGTCTCCAACGCTGGGGTTGGCATAGGCTGGCTGGTTGATTCAGTCGCTTTGGCTAGCTGGCTGGCTAGCTGAGTTTGTTGTGGTGGCAGGGAGTCTTATAGTATATGGGTTCGTCTGGCGTTAGGTTTCTGTCAATGCGCGCACCTGCGATAATATTTAAGGCAAGGTGATCAATGGGCCATGGTGTTTGAAGATGGCTTTCGGGTTAATTTTGTTATCGTTTTGTTATCGTTTTGTTCACGCTGACATCCCCACAAACACACAACGCAATGCAAAACATGTGACTAACATGGATGAATCCCATACTGGTACCACCAGTGCCAGAATCATGATGGTAACATATGTTGACACATATATTCATATACATACATATGTATACATATATATATATATATGTATACACACATGCATGTATATATATATAATACTTAGCGTTATCGTTTTTTTTTCTTCCTTATCGTTTTACGGTGAATGGACTATACCCGGTACAAAAAGGCAACCTGCAATACTAAATCTAATTGACGGGTTTTTTTTAATTTCCTCAAGTGGTTTCCCTAGTTTAACCTTCTCACTGCTGCGGATTGAGTGCATGTTTTTCAAACAACCCTAAGCGGTCGTCGTTTTGAACCCTGTCGTCGCTCGTGAGGCGCAAAGGTGTTGAAGAAAAAAAAGTTCCTACAGCTTTGCGATTCACATTGAAGGTAATGGCCAACATTCATTTGGGTCCAGCGAATGGGCAACTCGAGACGTCAACAAAGACAGTGCACCAAGATCATTCACCACTTCACAGAGATTTTGGGAAATTCGGACGCCCATCGGGTAAGGTCCCCGATTTTGAACAAACGTGAGGAATGAAGCCCGCCCCATACGCTGCGAAGGGAGATGCATTATGACGCAGTGTCCTATCCCTTATACAATACACCTGCGAGAACCCCATGCAAAATTAAGCTGCCACAATCCCTTCGTAAACGCGTTCACTCCACCACCTTCACCATCAGCCGACCCATACCAGCAATTTATTTTTCTCTGGCACCCCTGCTCTTCCGAACTCAACTGGTGCCTTGTTCTTCTTGAAGTCGCCAGCTTCCTTCAACTTGTCCTCCTTTTCCTTCAAGGTTTTTTCAGCTTCATCGCGTTCGGTTTTCTTGTCATCCAGAGCTTTCTCCATCCCCTTGAGCTCCTCAAGCCGCTTTGGTCAAGGGAGGGATTTTTTGACCGAAGGAAAGGTTACCACCAAGCATCTTGAATTTGACAGATTGTAACACACAGAGAAGAAAACAAGGCAACGTCCGCACGTTTTCTCTATACAATTTCTCCTCCTCCTTTTCCTCTTGGGCCTTCATGGCCTTTTCCTTTTTCTCGCCCAATGCCTCAGTGGCCTCTAGAACAGATGCATCCAAGGTCTTCCATTCCTCCTGAAGACGTTGGCAGCTAAAGAGTATGCCAACACACACATATTATATACTACCAGCTCGATCAGGGTAACAGTTTCATCCGTTTCATCCCGTTTGACTGTCAAACAACCCTAGTGAAGGGCACTGATATCTCTCCGTAAGGTTTGAATAGTTTGAAGGTGAAATGAGCCAGTTTGCACCGTCTTTCTGTCGATTTACTCTTGCTGTTTGCCAGATCTGTTGTCTCGCAAGACCTGTGGACAGCGACACATCCAACCCCTTTATGGGTACAAAAATGGAAATGTGAGAACTCAAATGCACCGGTGGAGAAAGGCGGAGACAGCGGGAAAGATCCCTTGCCATCCTTTTCCAATTTTGTATCCTTGCAGTCCCAGCAGTCCTTGGCCTTCTCAAAGTCGTTATTCTTCGACGAGTGCACCTCCATCGCATCTTCTAGAGCTGCAAAGGCTTCCCTGTGAGTGCCATGCGCGCATGCCGCGGTGGCCGCCAGGAATCTCTCTCAAGCACTTCGACTGTGACGAAGTATAGCACTGATGGTGTGAAGTACAGAATATATATATATATATGTGCACACTGTTGGTGGAATTCTAGACAAAGAAATGTGCCGCACACTTGAATATCTTCTGCCTTCAGATTCATAGGCTTTAGTTTTTGATGATTTTTGGGGATAGCCTTTCATGGAGCTTCGCATCGCCCCCACTTGCTGTCGAACCTGGCTTTCTTGGCGTGAGCAGAATACTCGTTGCTCTTGTTTTCAACGGCCTCGCTTGGGCCGGTGCATGCCCCTTCGTGCCATGGCAAGCCATCTAGCATGAACCTAACTCACCAATAATTTCAAAGAGACTCTGGACTTTGGGCCCATATAACATCAACAGGGAGATTCAACCATCGTTGGCTCCCAAAGGCTCTAAAATCAATGGGGCAGAAAGCAGGGCCTGCTGCCATGACTCCCGCCTCCAGCTTTGCTTTCTTCTCCTCCAGGGCCGATTCCGCAGCTGTCTGCTTCAGTTTCACAGCTTCCATCTGTGCCTTGAGTGCTTTCCTCATACGCCATGTTGAGGCAAAGAAATGGGCCCGAAGATGGGCATTGGTTTGCCCGAGCATCCATTTATGGACATGTGTACTTGTACAAAAATATAGAGATAGATATAGAGCTTTATTTGCAGCTTTGATTCCCAAAACGCCCCAAGTCATTGTCACTTCCAACTGTTTCTCTCCCCCATGTTCTGGATCCAAATCATCCCACTCCCTAAGGCTGAGCAGAGCATCATCTTCCTGGACACTCGGCCATTCACCTTCCGGATGGCAGCATTCACCGCAAGGGGCACTGTGCGGCTCATGCTGTTGGTGATGATAACAGCGTCCTGCTTCAGGCTGGCATGCACCGTGGCATCATCGCGGATGGCCATCAAACACGAAAAGAGCGACACGTGCACCACAATGCGGGCAAGCATCGCGCACGAGAAAGGCCTAAAAATAGCAACTTGTATATTTGCTGTGAGATTGACAGCTGCAAGATGGTTTCTGACCGATCTGTCCAAGCAAGCAGCAAGTCCAAAGCAACCATCAATTGGTACACAAGTCGCGGGGCGCCGGACCCCAAGTCACAGGATGCCCCCCGAAGAGCATCAAAGGCCCAAGAAAGACCGACAATATAAACTTCCGTATTTTGAAGATTACTGAAATTTACTGAAGGTTCACAACTGTTGGAATCATCCCAACTGTTCGACGATCTCAACATATCTCAACTGCTGCTGGAAACGGCCAAGTGACCCGGTGAGCTCCACCGAAAGCTGCCACAGTGCCGCCTTGCTGTTCAACACGCCTCAGGCTGACTCAGGCAACACATATGAGGAGCTGAACAGTTTCAAAAATCCATGCAAAACCACAACAGGTATCTGGAAATATCTGGACAATGATATATTCTGATGATATATGTGTTACGTTACATATCTGTATTTCGCAAACCTGGAGGGACAAGGAAAATGAAAAATGACAGCCCTCCTGAACAACGATCAGTGATGGCGCTAGGTCGGCGAATGAGATCTTTGTGATTTGCCCAGGGGGGTATCGATTGAGTATCCATAGGACATCTTGATGCAACTGGTCCTTGGATCACTGATACAACTAGATCTTCCCAAAGACTAGCTCAGGCAGAATCCCTGCATACAAGCAGTGAATCAAAAATCAATCGCCATGTATTGGTACAGGGGCTGTATGGGGCCCCAAAGTTGATGTTTCAATTTGACCCTCTCACCGTGTCTCACCTGAACCTCCCCATACCCAGCTGGCGCTCGCAGGTGACCACGCCTGCGCTCTCCTGCATTGTCAGGGCGATGATCTACAGAGAGACGAACCGCAAAGCCATCCTGCAGCATGTCCCAGCGTGTCCCATCGTGTGGCTTCGAAAGGCCAAGAATGGGCCTTAGGTAACTTAGGACGTCTGAGGCTACTGTCTGGCAATTTATCACGGCAATCAATAGGGAATCCCTTGTCCATTGCCATGCCAGAGTACCCGAGTACCCCAATTTGGGGCAATGTTGGATCAATAGTAAATTGCTAAGAACAGCAGGGGTCTGAAATTTTGCCCGTGGCCATATGGTTAAAAATGACGAAACCCGAAGTTGGATATGCTTTAATGGTAGTCAATGGCGGTAGTGAAGCTGACCAAAATATCATCCTAAATCAGTGCAAAACGAGTCGTAGATTTTGAATGATTTTGATCGCCCGGCACAGATCGCTTCATTCGTCCTCCCTCCCCAATCTTGCAAGCACATTAGTACATTACATAGGTGTTCCTTACAAAGGGTTAGAATTTCCAGAAGAACCTTTTTTACGGAAGTATAGAAGTCGCGCGCAAAATCTGCGCCTTCTTCCCCAAGACAGCTCTGCTATCTCCAACCTCAAGCCGAAGTGGTGCCCACTGTCCACGGCCAAATTTGTATGGAATCTTTGGGATCCGGCATTCGCCACCAGCAGTCGCAATCTGCCTTCCTTGCCACGGACGGCTGCATCCACAGCAAGGTCCATATATATAAATATATACATATTTATTATTTATTTATGTATTTATGTATTTATTTATATATTTATTATCATATGTTGGATTCAAATGCAATGTGTCGCCGTGCTGTATGTATGTGTGTGTGTGCGCGTGAAATGAAAATCTGTGTGTGTGTGGGAACACCTGTTTCAAAGGACACAAAACAACTTTAACTAACCAGTTTACAAACAGCAGAGGGGTGTGGCACCCATGTCCTCACCACATGCAACGAAGCTATGGACATGGGTGGGAAGTGAAACCCGGCGAGTTCCCTGTTCGCGCACAGTTGTGAGGACTTGTTACTTCAGAGCCTGCTTCAGGGTTGTACATTCCGTAATGTAATGGCATCCGGGCTAAGCCGAAAACCCAGCAAGCCGACACAACCATTTCACTTTCACCGCCTCCGTTCGGAGTATTCCTTAGTGTGACCCACAGTGTGTGTGTGTGTGTGTCTGTCTGTCTGTCTGTCTGTCTGTCTGTCTGTCCATCTGTCTGCCTGTCGGAGGGCCGATGGCACGAATTCATCAATTGTGAAGCAATTTTAGCGCTTTGCTCTCAGTAAAAGCCCAGATTTGCGATCCAGAGAGTAGTGGTTGCGTGCTGATAGGCGGATGATATGCGGATGCATGATGAATAATATGATGTCTCTATGTATATCTCATTTTGTATCGTATGAACAAGTACGGACATACCTGTATGTACCGATACCTGTCTCCCTGTCCTCTCCCTTGCAGCATTTGCAGTTATGATATATATATATATAAATATAAATAAATAAATAAACATCATTTATTTATTTATTTATTTATTTATTTGCTTATTTATTTATGTGTTATCTATTTATTTATTTACTTATTTGTTTATTATTACATAATATATATATATATATATATAATTATATATATATATATATAATTATATATATATATTATGATGTATCAATGATGTATGATCTCCCTGTGCGCCTGTACCACTACCAAAATATGCCAAAGGCACTGATCCTACGGACATCGATTTGAAGGGTCCTCAATGTCCGTATCGCCCCTTACACGAAGTCACACATTTATGACTTGACGGCTGGCTACATCTAATTACTTCCCTTCATACCATTTTTTGACCAATTTTTGACCCTTGCTCAGACTTGCTCATGGCCCACCGTGATTTCAAGAAATGGATCCCGTCCTGCCCTTACCATGGCCCAACATGGCCCAACTGTCTCCTCATCAGGGCCCGCCAGGCACGCAGCGCAGCAGGTACTACCAGACGTGGCCCATGTTCGGCCTTAGAGGTGCCAGTGGTGAAGGATGGTGAATGAAACGGGTGCCGAGACGATGGACCCGGGGCACCGTGCCAGCACCACCTTCCAGTTTGTTGGCATACCTTTCAGCATGCTCCAACTTCTTGGGTCAGCAGCAGGCACCAAACATATGACAACGTAATAGAAGATGAGTTGTTGGTGTCATTTTCAACTGAATTACAACATGCTGGTTGATGCTGGTTGGCTGAAATACCAAGTAATTATGCCAAACTGATTGCAGTCGACATACTAGCATATGAGGCCTACTGAGGGGGTCACTGATGGAAGGAGTGCTCTGTGACCTTGAACCCGGCCAACAGAGAAGACTTGAGGATCTGTTCCGCGTTGGCGTCCTGGAAACTTGAAGGCGCCAGTGTCTGTCTAGGGATCGCCGAAAATAAAGGTTTCTGCCCCTCAGCAACTGCCGAGGGATTGTAAGTACTATATATATATAAGTATCTATAAGTAGGCTTGCAACCCAGTTACTGATAGTTCCGGACATGCTATGGCTCGTGGCCACACTTCTCTGGTTGATTCCCATCACAGCAAAACCACTGGCAAATCAAGACATACATCAAGAAAAGAATAAACTTCCCTCCACGACACCAAGAAATTCCCAAAAATCTCCGTCTCCATCTGAGTTCCTGACCCTCTTCCGCCTCAGACTCAGACATCTTGTAATATTTGTGCAATGTATCCAGTTGTACTCGGCATAAGTCACCTGAGGCTTTAGCTGGTCCCGGAGCGAGTCCAGAATGTTGCGCTCCAAGTTCAGCACCACCTGATGTCAGATGGACCTCGTCGTCCATTACCAAAATGCTGGGTGGATATCCATCAAAATTATTCAAAATTGCTATAGATATCTATAGATTCTGTAGGCATCTTTAGGCTATGGAATTGGTTTTATTTATATATATATACGTATATATAGTCCACTATACAGGTGCCTGTATTTTTGGCACAGTGTGTATGTCATGGTTACCCATTTCAGCTGAACGGACCCCGAAAAAATCTGGCTCCAGAGGCTGGGCTCCCCACGAAATTGCTACAGGAGATACCGGCATGGCCATCCATCACAGCATAAAGCGTTAGTGCCTGGAGCAAAGCTGGGAAGTCCAAAAAAAGAGATCGAGATGCCCAAGACTACTAGCCCTCAAACTTTCCGCTCCAGTGAAGAATGTGAATGGATACTCTGCGGGATAATTTCAGGGAGGGAAATTCTCCTGAAACGATCGAAATTCAGGGATCGCACTCTCTCAGGGCCCTTGAGCACACTCATTTTTTAAGAAACATCAAGGCTCTGACTGCTGATTTTCCAGACGTACCCAGCCTTAAGGAATTGGGCCGGCTGCTTCAGTTTCTGTGTGCAGCATGCTGGCAGTTGCGATTCTGGAGCAACAAAGCAGCAAAAACTTTAAGATGCAACGCCGCTTTTCTCTTCGCTTGAGTCAGCAAGGACAGGATTTAGTATGCTCCACTTGACGCGCCTTGCGCAGAACTCAGGCAGCGTCTGCAAAAAGAGCCAGCAGTCCATCTTAAGATCCAGCGCAGGGCGCATCTCTGAATGGACAGTTTCGACGGTCGCCACATCTGATGCTCTCGCCAGGTGTTCCATTTGTTCCATCTCATTGGAAAGGACAACAGGTGCCGCAGCGCACCCATCTTGCCCCTGGCTTCTGCGGTTCTCGTTTGCAAATGTTGTGCTGGCGTGGTCCTTTGTGGGGTTGGAAGGGCGATGGGAAGGAATATGGTAAATATGGATAAACCAATGATGTGCTTTGACCATCTTTGACCTATGTTACTGTCGTTCTCCTTCTCCGTTTGCATTGTTTCTCGGCCGACTTTCAATTTTCTCAGTTGCCCCTCTCGAAATGAGAACTTCATCCCTGGCAATGCAACCCGTTGATCCTTGGATCCAGCGCCCACTAGGCGCAGCATGGCGCAGCAGACCCTCAGAGAGTGTCACCTTGGAGCTCTTGGCATCACCAGTTCCAGGGCGTCACGCTCCAAGCCTCCTAAGCCGGTGGTGGCCTGACTCAGCACGTTGGGCACACCTGTTGGTCCAAGGCCAACCGCAGTGGAGGATCCCGTCATCAACTCCCTGACCTCCAGGACTGCCGGCCGAAAGACCATCCGGACGAAGTGAAGCCTCCGAGTGGTGCTTGAGATGTGGAGCATACTGAAAAATGGGTGGCATCCCCGGAAAAACACCCACGCCGCAGAACACAAATGCCGGTCGTTTGGATTCATCAACAGAAAAGGCATGCCAAATAGGTGGACTTTACTTCAAATGGATCTCATGGTGTCTCTCTCTGTTCCATCGAATTGGGAATTCACAACGAAAAATGTCCTGAAGCCACCAACCAGGAGCTCAAGAGCCCCTGGCATGCATCCCATCATTCGCAGGCACCAGCTCACCTCTGCCAACCGGTGCACCTTGCCTTCATCAGGGTCCCCCGCGGCTGCAGCAGCTGCAGCAGCTGCCACGTCATGTCTCACCAGCGAGGTGAGGCCGCACTTCAGAGACCGCCAGGCCTGAGCTCTGCACAAAATCTCTTGTTGAACCACTTGCAGGTGGCCGCTTGGCACCACCTTGGCCATGGGATGCCATGATACGCCATGTGTCAAAGTTGCAGGGCCCATGAATCCGCAGAATCGTTGGTGCGCTTGCGGTGGAACTTTTGCAAAATCGTCGTTCCATGGGGGAAATAAATGCAAATGATTGAACTCAAACCATCCATATCCATGTGGGGGCTAATGATTTTGCCCGATCCCCACCTTCCGCCTCCACATGCCTTCCACCACCAGAAGTGCATCTCTCCACCTGGCGCTGCAGCTCATCGCCTCCACCATCACAGCGAAGGTTACACCATCCGGCGCCAACTGGCGAAGCTCCAACTGCTGCAGCAGCTGCAGTCCCACCGACCACCGGGAGGCCTTGCTGCAGGTGGCCAGGAGGTGGTGACAACTTGGCAAGATCTGCTGCACGTCAGCTGATTCAGCTGTCACCTGGAGGCCCAGGTGGAACACCTCCAGCGCACTTCGCCAACGGTGTAGCCGCTCGCAGGTGCTGAGAACTGAACCCAGCAACACGAGGTCAACCTGAAGAAGGCGGGGCTCCCTCAACAATTGTAACAATTGCTTGGAGCAACCAGGCCCCGGCCCTGGCACCTAACTTTCAAGACATTAAAACTGAAAGTTCTAAAAACTCGACGTTACTTTTTGCAGGGTATAATCCGTTGAATCTAAAAGCATGCAATTGTATAATTAAATTATATTAAATTAGCCCAATTTTTTAGCCTGGATTTCTCTATCGACGCATGCAAACATGGTTGTGACCCGTTTTCAATGCCAGTTGCTTCCATTTTTGGGTTTTCCAGATCATGATCCTGGGTCAAATGGGGCACCCTTGACATGAACTTGTCAAAAGATCCCCAAAGAAAGAACACCTGTTCGTCATTGTTCATCTACATGCATACTAATCATCCTATAGATTCAAAACCGAAAGCATTAGAGATCATCTAATTCTATCTCATTCTAGACTTGAGTGCCTCAGCATCTTGATCTGGGCATCCCAGTGACCCCCAGGCGCAGCTGTTGCGTCTGCTTCAGGAGCACCATGGCGGTGTCCAGCTGCCGCGCCCGGCGGCAGCATGTCATCGCTGCGCTGAACGTCACCAGGTCGTGGCAACCGCGACCGTCGCAGGCGCGACTGAGCAGCTGCAGGGCAGCCTGCCATTGGAGGCCGAGGCCACAGGCACCTGGAAGATCTGGGAAGTAAAGGGGGAAGAAATGGGAAGAACATGCGATTGGAAAATGATTGAAATGAGATAAAATGGGGTGAAATGGGATGAAATGAGATGAAATATGGAGAAGGGTAGGGATGGCCCAATATGTGTATCATGATCTACCATAGTTATTCTAGTAGCATGGTTTGAGCTCAAAAAATTGAAAACACACACACACACCACAAAAGAAACACTTGCCGTATCTTGACATGTAGGAAAATCATGGAAAATCGCGATGTATATAATTATACGAATGTCCAGCATTGTTGTGCTCCATAAGCAAGAGACCTAAGCCATAAGATTTTTTTTGCCGGGGCTTCTCAGAGGGTTTGCCCCAACAGCCAGCAAAGAAAATGGCAGAAAAAATGATTCTGAAAGTGTCCCTGATGGTTGTTCCCTCACGATGATTCCATGGCAAGCAGCTGATCCCCACGTTGTAACTGACCCCATCGGGCTGCAAGGATTGCTGCGGCATAGCTCGGAGCATGTCCAGCACCTGGCGCCAGTGCGAGCAGCGCAGCAGCTGGGACATAGTCATGTTGTAGGAGGCCACCTGGGTGCCCAATGGCAACATGTGGAAATCGGCTGGGAAAACCATGGAAAGGACATGGAAAGGACATGGAAAGGACATGAAAATCATGAAATGACAAGGGTTACAAGAATGTTAATGTCCTCTGGGTAACCAGGACGTGTAGTATTAGTTCATCACTGTGGCTCATGTCTGGAACTGCCCTTCAAGGATGTCGCAGCAAATCGCGAGTACATTGAGCTGTCCGAGGGAAAATTTGTGTCTTGGTCACACGGTGACACGCGAAATCAATGGATTTGACATCAAAATGACGAAGGAACCTGGGGGCTGATGCTCTTGACAATGCGCGGTGCGGACCATGTCAGCACCATTCGCCAGCAGCCCCGGTTTGGGTGCCAAGATCATGATGCCACTGGGCCGCAAGGCACTCCGTCTTCGTTTTGGTCACATGGTTTGTACAACAGCTGAGCCGAAATTTGATTTCTGCACATGATCTCAGTCACCAAGCAAATCAAGTCACAATTGAAGATATTCAAGGTATATTCAAGGTCTGCGAAGCATAGGTTTATTCAAACCAGCTTGCGGCATGACCCAATGATTTTTAGGATGCCTAAGCTTCACCCGAAGGCTGAGGTTGCAACGTACCCACTTCTCGAGCCACGCCTTGTAGGAAGCCATCCTCCATCAGCGCCTGCCGAAGGGGCAACAGATTTCCCTGGAACAGGGCCACCCTCAGCTGTGTGACAACATAGTGCCTTCTTGTGACCCTTCTCTTGGAAAACACCTCAGCAAAATTTGAGCAACTACAGCTCCAATGGACCATGTTGCTAACTAATTACTTGTCCGAATTGCAATCCGTTAAAGATCAGCTACCCACCCTGCTTTTCTGGAGCCAACAAGGTTTGCTGATACTTGCTGCTTTAGTAGAAAACCAGTGAAACAGCAATTCACCAAGCTGTACGAGACTTAGCGATCCCTCAGGATCATCATCTCGAACAGCCACAGATCTTGGGGCGTGAACCCGACTGCAGCCCCTGCAGCAGGAGCTGCCGAAGACGTGCTTCCTTCGCTGAAAGCGCTGCTCCTGGAGCGGATTGGACCCATACAGTTATAGCAATCCTATAGTGATATTTAGTTGATTAATGTTAATTTATAGTTGATTATTGAAGTGATTTTAGTCATTTCATGTCATTTCATGTCATTTCTATTATATCAGACCTCGTCTGCTTAGTGATATCCCATGATCCTCACAGGATGGCAAGTTCCCAAATCGCCACCGTTGCCACCGTTGCCGTCTCCTGCAGCTTGGGTCAAGCCATTTTGCACCATCCGGGCCAAGCCTTGTACCCGCACATTCCCAGCACACGGTTTCCTCAGCTGCGAAAGGGCGGCCTAGGGCTGGTGCGGCGATGGCAGCCGAGATGCCCATCTTCTTGAGTCGTCATCTCGTAAGAGACCAGTGCCTAGGGATGTCATAGCACATCTGTAAACATCGGGGTGTCCATCATTTCGGAAGTCGATGCATGTTCCAAGTGGCAAAACTGCAGCAGGACGTGGTACAACGGACTTTTTGTGCCCATCCTCTTGACATTCTTTCGACTAAAGTGAAACCAGAGTCTGAATAAAGTGGACCAAGGGAGCCACACATGGGACCCATGTCTTGGAAAGCGTCTGGTACATTGGCCAGAGCGCCGTTCTAACTTTCAACTTGGTCCAACTTCATTCATAGGTGCCATAGTAGGGCAGTCTGCCCGGCTCCTCCACATAAAAATCTAGCGCCATGGCCACCACCGCGATCAAGCCAGGCATTGTTTGAGCGAACTCCTTTGGGATCACCTCCCTTGGATTCTCCGACGTTCCTTCGTACCTGGGAGTTTGCTCATACAAATACAAGAATTTTGGGAGGGGTTGGCCTGGGGAAAAATAAATAAGTGCGTGTATGTATATTTTACATGTATGTACATATATAGATTATAGGTATCATTATATATGTATATAATACAATTCAATAGGTTCCCCACAAGTGGTGGTTGACCAGTCTGCCAGAGAAGTCCAGGCCACGCTTTGATGATGGCACTAAGCTGGAAGGACAAGGCCATGCAAAGCAGCTTGACGGAGGTTCCCACCTGGGTGTCGAGTTTATAGGTGTTACCCAAGGCAGCTTGCAGATAGTCGAAGGCCTTCTTGTTGTTGATGACATCCTGCAAACCTGGATTTCCAACTCACCTAGAAGATATTTGGGTGAACTTGGTGGGTGATCTTCCTTCTTTTGACTCTGATTTTTGCATGAGCAATCTTGGATCACCTTCGATTTTTCAAGGAGTGGAAACTAAGACAAATCTCTGAAAGCAACCAGAAACTGAAGCCACAGGTGGGCAGAGGTGGATCGCCGCATTGCACGTTCGCCTCCTTTACGCGATCATAGACCTTTGGATCATACACCAAATAGGACAAGTCGTCCTTGTTCCCTACCGTTTTCACCACATTTTTCAAGGATTCAGCCACCTTCTGCAGCGCTTCGTCGTTGAAGTTCTTACGCATATCCAAGGCAAAGGTGGCCAATTCCTTGGGCACCTAGGCGGATCAAGGTGGGAAGTATCTCCTGAGAACAACTATATCCTATAATCATTATACTACGTATGTAGGCTATGTGTAGTGTGTATATGCATGCATGCATGCATGCATGCATGCATGCATGCATGCATGCATGCATACATACATACATACATACATACACACACACATATATATATATATATGTATGTATGTATGTATGTAGGTAGGTAGGTAGGTATGTAGGTATGTAGGTATGTAGGCATGTCGGGATGTGGGTATGTGGGTATGTGGGTATGTGGGTATGTGGGCATGTGGGCATGTGGGCATGTGGGCATGTGGGCGTGTAGGCATGTGGGTATGTGAATGTGGGTATGTGGGTATTCTGTATGTAGGTGTGTAGGTCTGTAGGTCTGTAGGTCTGTAGGTCTGTAGGTACGTAGGTACGTAGGTACGTAGGTAGGTAGGTAGGTAGGTAGGTTGGTTGGTTGGTTGGTTGGTTGGTTGGTATGTTGGTATGTTGGTATGTTGGTATGTTGGTATGTTGGTATGTTGGTATGTTGGTATGTTGGTATGTTGGTATGTTGGTATGTTGGTATGTTGGTATGTAGGTATGTAGGTATGTAGGTATGTAGGTAGGTATGTATGTAGGTAGGTATGTATGTATGTATGTAGGTATGTAGGTATGTAGGTATATATGTATATGTATATGTGTATGTATATGTATATGTATATGTATATATACAGTATGCATAGATACTATATACACATATGCGTGTGTATGTGATTGTAGGTGCATATACAGATGTGTATATATATAATTATATATATATATATCATCTTACAGCATGTCGTCATAGGACGTTCTCTTCACGATAGGTCTTTTTTCTGCGAATTATATGTGTTCAGTTGACGTCTGCTGTTCTTGTGCTTCATGTAATTATCCCCATTTCTAGTTTCAAATCGCCTCTGCCAACCCTTGCGCCTTGATCAGGGGAATTTGCCCTGACTCCATGGGAGGCAACAGGAACTGACCATCCGTGCCCCCGTGATACTTCGCAAAGGCGGTCTGTGCAAACCACACCTGAAGTGAAGTAGAGAGGCAGGGAAAAACTGAAACTGGAGATTTGGGGATCATCCAACAAATACTAGGCAGCCGGCCACATCCAAAAAGGAAAGTGGTGACTGTAGTGGACCAAGTTATGAAAGACAAATTCAGAAACTCTTTGCAAAAATGTGAACCTGATGAGACCGGGACCCAGGTGCTGCAGGGATGCCGTTCAAGCATGTCGCGGGCTCGGTTGAACCGCAGAGAGGACTAAAGTTCTTCGTCAAGGCATCTGCATCACTGTACGACGTGGGCACGTACAAACGGTTGATGAACAATGGGTGGGTCGGAGAACCTGCCAGGCGTTCGCGGCATCAAATGGCAAATCCCACACCGCCTACGGTATCCGAGTATCCCCATCTAAGTGGAACTGACGCAGCTAGGTGCAAGTGCCCCGCAAGACCATTGTAAATAGTAAATACCAGAAAGGCAAAAACAAACATACGCCGACGCCCTTAGATTGTAAAATGTTGAAAGGAACTGTAAGATACTGTAAGCATTCCCTTTAGGAACTGATGCAGCTACGACCACAGAAGATTGTATACTCGTCGGAAACCATGAGAAGTACAGTACGACAAAGGGGAAGAAGGCGTCATGAAATCTAAAAGAAAAACTTGAACTCTGGGGAGAAGCAACAACCAAAACATACCAAAACAATGACTCACAACTCCAAAGGTGCACACATTCGAGCTGTAAATCCCCTCCTAATTTCTCCATGCGACCCGAATAATTTGTCTTGAATCCTCTGAAAGCATGAGAAATACTAGACGGGGACAAAATATGACAAAATGGGGATACTTCAAAGAAGACCACATCACAATAACAAAAAAAAGGTAATGCCCGACCCCGACAACTGCAATCGGTTCTTCCCACTTCTCCGGTGAAGTGCACAGGGGCCATCCAAGAACTAAACCGGACCTAAACTGACAGTAATGGGAGTTGATATAGAAAGCAAGCAATTAATTAGCCATCTTCACCACCATTAACTATCCTCCTCAAGCTGGATGCTATGAACAGTTACTCACGTTTATATAGTTGTTTATTGTATTGCTTATTCCTATTTAACTTGGATGTTGCACAAGACTGACCCAACCAAATCTTCACCTTCACCTTTTGTCGGCTGTGTTTTCTCTCTCTCGCTCTCTCTCTCTCTTGCTTTCCATTTGTAAAAACACAATCTACACCTGTGACTTCACTGTGGTTTTCCTATTCCCCTGGGAGCAGGCAGACTTAGACCCGAAGCGGTGCCAATAGAAAGGATCAATTTCTCCATTTTAGATCAATCACCCCAAGTAGCTCGCCCCAGATGCAATGATTTCTAGATACTTGCCCGATTGGAAATGATTTTCCATGATTTTCCATTTTCCATGGCCAGGTCTGTGTATTCATGGCATTTTTACATATTTTTACATGTCTTCTGTCACACCACGCCTTGAAATCCTTCCTCGATCAATTGCTGCAGCCCTACCGTGGTCTCGGTGCCCAGCGCCGCCACGAAGTCGTGCCCCTCGATGCCTGGGGAACCCAGTGGATCCATGGCAAACCTCAGCTACGAGGCTGGTGGTGGACCATTGGAGTCAAAAAGCGACATGAAGCAACAAAGTCCTCAAATTGATGCACATCGGTAAGGCTTGTGAAATTATGATGGTTTCTTATGGCTCATGGTGGTTCATGATGGTATGATACTTTAGGACTTTTGGATATTTTTGGGGACAAAGGCACCCAAAAGTAATAGAAGGGTTTGTTACCACTTGATTTGGGCAGCAGAAAAGGCTGCAACCAGGCAGCACCAACTTCACTTTCTTTAGGTCGAGGGTGGGGTTTTTGGCCCACGCGGTGAAACCAATGGGGTAGTTGTGGCAGCCCTTGGGGTTGCCCCAATACGCTGGACTGTTGCAAAACGCCTGCTTCCACGCATCGGAGACGGCCACGTTGTGGATTCCTTCCTCACCATCCGAGATTAAAAAAATGATGCTCCTTACAGGGCCAGAACAGGAAATAGGAATAACAAGAAAAACAATTCGAAAGTTCTAAGGGGTTGGATCAAAAAGGGCATGCCAAAAAGATGGAGGATCGTACCAAAATTCGCCAAGTCCATCCGTACCAAAATGCAACATACTCACGACCCATCAAACTTTTGACCCACTCAAATGTATCTACCCTTTATGTCTAAAAAAGCCCTATCAGCTGGCTCGCTGCAGCGCAAATCCTCTTGGTCGGATTATCCTTAAAGTACTGCGCCATGCTCAGCAGTGCCGCCACCGACCCAGCATCATCATAAGAATTATCTGTTTCCAAAAGGCCCTGCTCTCTGGATGGCCCTTGGTTTGTAGGGCCATCTAGATGTGATACAAGCAGAAGATACCTCAGCAAAGGGTAACTCGTCTGAAGATGTCTGAAAATGACCCTCGGCCATGATAATCTTCATTTATTTGAGGCGGGGGCGGGGATAGAAGAAAAAAAATGCCGGAAACTTAAACCCAGATACTCATCTTTCAGCATCTCGTCACTTCCTTCAACTGCTCCAATCAAATTGGTGATGCCATCAGGGCACTCTTCATCTTTCGTCCCTGGCACCACAAAGCGGAAGTCCCGCGACCCCAAAGGTTTCAACTGCATGTCACCAAACTTCTGATCAACCAGCTGCCGTGCATGGGCCATTCCCTCGGAACACGACAGCCGTGGGTTGGACTTGTCATCAAAGGACGTGAGCTCAGTGAGGATTTGAGCTGCAGATCCCCCTTTCTTTCTGAGACTAGCATCCAAGTCGGTCAGACGTCCAGCCGCACCTTCCAAACAACAGCCAAAGCAATAGGCCCAAAGAAGCCATGATGGACCCCCCTTGGGGGAAGGCAAAGGAACGCGCATGGCAGCAGGGCAACGTTTGAGAGTGAACGAAGCGCTTGCGGGAGAGGTGCAATGATCACAATTTCAAAAGTAAAATCACGCAGCTAAGCAAATGATGCAAATTGATGCAAATTGCGCGTCTTCGTTTATGATTTGCGTTCATACGAACACGTCACCCTGCTATGGGCGACTAGTCTAGTGATCATCTCTACTCTCCCCAAAGCAGAAAACCCTTGGATTTGAGAAATCAGGAGCTCGGCCGCCCACGCCAGGGGCCAGTGCTGCATAGTTGTCGCTTTCAGGGCCTGCAGTGACAGCTTGGAATCACAGCAAGGCCTTGCAGGAAACATTGATATGACTCGAGCGACTCATGGTTTTCTGAAATGAATTGAGCTCCCGACCATCCTCGATCTGATTCTTGTGCACAAAGATTTCCTGGCCCGATCAAATCAATGACTCAAACCTCAGAAAGTTTGGCCAGACCGATCCCAGACCCGGAACCTCCTCGACCGACGTGCTCCGCGCATCCAAGGGCCTGAGGGCTGGCCCACTGTGTATCCAGGTGCTTATCCTTTACAAAATGTAGAACTGCTATTATAGATCATTATAGGTGGTCTATATGTTTAAAGAAGCTGGTTTCCAGCTCATAGAAAGCAGATTTCAACTTCAGCACACGACATGTGAATTCGGGTGCTCTGAGTGGCACACAGGATCTTTCCAAAGCCCTTTTCTTTGTCGAACCACCTGTGCAGTGGCTTGCCCCAGCCCTGCAACTCTGGGCAACCCAGTCCCAAGATGTCCCAAGATGTCCCAAGATGTCCCAAGATGTCCCAAGATGTCCCAAGATGTCCCAAGATGTCCCAAGATGTCCCAAGATGTCCCAAGATGTCCCAAGATGTCCCAAGATGTCCCAAGATGTCCCAAGATGTCCCAAGATGTCCCGAGATGTCCCGAGATGTCCCGAGATGTCCCGAGATGTCCCGAGATGTCCCGAGATGTCCCGAGATGTCCCGAGATGTCCCGAGATGTCCCGAGATGTCCCGAGATGTCCCAAGATGTCCCAAGATGTCCCAAGATGTC